GTGAGTATCTCTTATTAACAACTTTTTTATTTTAGATAAGAGAAAACAAACATCTGGAGATGTTGGATGTCTAGTGTGAGCTCACCTCAGCCGGCATATGCATCAGGAGAACAGCAGCTATGGGAGCCTGAGCCTGACAATAACCCTCATCAGGACGATGCAGAGTGTAAGCCTTCAGAACCCGGAGCAGGTCCTGCTGCCTGCACGTATCAACAAATAGAGATTATTATCACAAACCACTGTGTATTCAATAAAATGAACACAGTGTTGGGAAGTATGATAAGCCTTTAGATGGCAGAGCGTACCCATGACCTCCTCTTGCTGAAAACATTTCGTGGAAGGGAAACTGTCGATGGAGGTCCCTCTCAATGATGTCTACCCATTTGGGATCTCCTGACTGATCATCCAGTTCCTGGAGATACACATTTTTTTACATTGAACTTTTGAGTGATTTCTCATCTGCTTCTTTAGACAAGACCACTTTAAAATAAAAGCCACTCTGAAACAGGTCTTGTACCACACATTATCTCATGCATCTACACTTTACATACATGTTATATGGGTATACATTATTTCCATTTTGGAAAATACTCACAACTGCGACTGCAAGTGTGTCACTGACCTGAAATCTGCCTTGGTTTTGTTCCCTTTTCACTTTCCCCCCAGTGAGGTAGAGCCAGGCCCGGCCACGCAGCGATGGAGGAATCCCCTTTTGACAGCGCTCCTTCACCTGACATTCAACACAGGCACAGTTAATGTAGAGAGCAAACCAGACGTTTCTTTGTTGTTCCCTTGAATATATTAATGTACTTCTAATATTCACAGTCAGTATAATTGTATGCTTCAGTTTCTCACAAAAACACAGTGAGAAGTGTTCAAGCTAACAAAATAAACAAGTGAAACATGCCACATAAATTATCTTCATGCTCCTGCTAATTGCTCTTCACCAGTGGTGCTAATATGTAACACACATCAGTTAAAAACACTGCAGACCTTCCTGTGTTTTTTGGCCATCCACTTGTCCCAGTTGTTGAGCATATCCAGCCATTTTGCCTCCCTCTGTCTCAGCACCTCGATGGGGATTTCTTCTGCACTGTGGTGAAATGAGAAAATGTTATAACAAGAGACAAACTAATTCTTGTCACGCAGACTGACAGCAGTTGTACTGTACGGTGTCACTTCTCTGAACCTATATAGGGGAATCCCAGAGGGTGGCATGCAGCTCATGTCTTCCTTGTCCACACAGGAAACTTACCCTCAGACGAAACAGTGGAACACTTGCCCATCGCCAATGAAGTACAAGGAAAACAGGAAGCTATGGGAGAACTTTCCCTTAGTTCAGTTCCCTTCAGGGATCACGGCTACCAGGTTGGCGACCACAGACCAAGACAGTGGAACAACTAACAGGTTTAGTCAGAGGACCTCAGACCCCAACAGGAAACTTGAGATAAGAATCGGTACTACCAATAGACCAACTGATATGGAGTCAAGCACACTATTA